GGCTGATGCTGATGCTGAGGCTGCTGCTGATGCTGATGCTGATGCTGAGGCTGCTGCTGATGCTGATGCTGATGCTGCTGCTGCTGCTGAGGCTGATGCTGATGCTGAGGCTGCTGCTGATGCTGATGCTGATGCTGCTGCTGCTGCTGAGGCTGATGCTGATGCTGATGCTGATGCTGCTGCTGCTGCTGAGGCTGATGCTGATGCTGAGGCTGCTGCTGATGCTGATGCTGATGCTGCTGCTGCTGCTGAGGCTGATGCTGATGCTGAGGCTGATGCTGAGGCTCCTTCTCTCCTGGCATCTCCATCCATTTATCTGAATTATGTCCTTGTTCTTGCACCACTCCCACTGACATCAGTAGATTTTATCTTTGGGGAAAATGACAGCGCGAACATGTGGCAAATAAATAGAAGTGGAAGCGATGGTTGGGTTTGTTTTTCTCTCTCCTTCTCCTTCTTTCTGTAAAATACAACCTTAAATCCTAACTCCCAGGGCTGGACGTGAGGCGCCATGATGTAAATAATCAGGTTTGGACTAATTACAAATCAAATTATTAACCAGTGCACTCGACTTTCTCATTTTCACGGCGTAAATCTGCACCTTCAATGGCATCAGATGACGCATGCCTTCGTTTAACACCAACCCTGGACCAGACAGTTTGGAGCCCTATGGGGTATTACTGTGTCACCAAGAATTATCATTGTCCCCTAAGTGAATCACTCTCCTCCGCGGCCTGCAATGAGCGCGCAGGGAAATCAATACAATCTCAATCAGTAAAGAGATAGAGTGTGAGAGGGAAGAGCGAGAGAGGGAGGGAAAGATGGATAGATAGAGAGAGAGAGAGAGAGTGAGGGGGGGGGGGCTTCGTGTAGTTTCAAAACATACAATTGAAGAGCCGGGAATTTAATTTGTTCCTGTCTGCTCTCAGACCATTCCTCATCGTGTGGTCATGTATGGATGCTGCTGGTGAATTAGAAGTGATCGATCATTATCTGGAGGTGGAGGCAATCCAGCTGTTACAAGTAGAGCAATGTACGTCTGGTTCAAGTACCGAAGGTGCTAGGCTAACACCTGCATCTGGTTGACAGCAGTATAAAAAAATAAAATTATTTCGCCTTTATTGTTGATACCTGCTTCTAAAGATGTGTTACTGTGAATACGCAGTATTCGAGGTATTTTTAAAGTTCATACGCAGTATTCGAGGTATTTTTAAAGGGAAAGGAAGATTAGAAAATCCCTTAACATTTGCAGAAACATATTATATTTTCATGCAGTGGAAAAGTGGTCAGCGCTTTTGCCTTACAGCAAGGAAATGACCAGGGTCCTCAGATACTAGTTACTTTCCACTGCCAAAAAAATAAAAATGCATTATTAGTATGCTGTCCGATATTAACTTTTTGCCGATATCCAATAGGCCCATAAGGTCGGAACACTTAATTTCTAATTTCGATATCAACCAATACCGATATAGGCCTGGTAGTATTTATTTATCTTTATACAATTAAATGAGCTGCAATGCTGCCATCTAGTGGCTTTCACTTTCACATACAGCGGTTGATCCCCAAAACTATTTTTAGGGTACAGGCATTGCGTTATCGGGTTTTCATTATCGGAGGAAAAAACGATAACGATTCTTACAGATATTACATGATTAAGCTAACATCGGCCGATATTATCGGACATCCCTAATTATTAGGTTATTGTTCACTGTTCACTCATTAGGTTCAAAGAATGAAAAAATGCCACTCAAATAAAACAATCCAATTCGATTCAGCCAATTATAAAATTGTAAAAAATATGAAACAGGAAAAACTAGAAAATGTCACCTTCAAACCGTCACCTCTGACAAATGTTCATCTGCTGTTTCCCAACCAGTCACTGCTGCTACAATAATGAGCAAAGATGTCGCTGCGAAGACACGACCTCAGCACAGACGGCGCGAACAGTGAGATAGCTGAGTGGAAAAATCTTTTCGGGGATCATTAAACACGCAATCATTGAGATTTCTTTACTTCCTGTCGAGGCCTGTGTCTTTGCCGTATGAAAGTAAGAAAAGCAGCGACTTCTCTGCATTTCAATGTGGATCAAAACCCACTTTTCCTGTTCGTGGCACTGAATGATCTCCGTAACCGTATCACAGTGACATTTTGCTCTTTTTTTTTGGTGGCTGCCTCAGCCACAGCCAGTCAACCCTGTCCTTCCTGTCTGTACCACCACACGGTGAGATGTTTCTCTCTTTCTTTCGCTGCCCTGAAACCACTGCACGACTGATTTACAGTTTTAAAGCTAACGGGATATTGATCCGACCAAGATTCATTGGATCCTGGCTCTGGTCATGTGGAGCGTAACCTGCATCTGTCCTCAAAGATATGAGAAGCAGCACCGATGTCCCTTCTCTGGTTTGGTACCGATGACCTATTGACGGATTCCATCTCTGTGAACTCATTAACCAAAAAGTAACAGAACCAACTTTGAAGCCAACTGGCTGCGTCTGCAGAGAGAGACTTTGGATACATATTTCATGAGGCCAATGTTCTGTGGAGACTCATCCATGTTTTAAAGCAGTTCTGTCACTGACAGAGACGGAGGCTGACGACAGCGAGGAGAGATTAAAGTACGTGTTTTCTACAAAAATGGCAGAAACGTTCGTTTATTTCACAAAAACTACAATAATTATGCAATAACAGTTGGTTTAAACCACTGGTTCCCAACCCTTTTCTCTGTGCGTGTGACTCATTTGTCATCACAAATTTCTGGCGAGCCCAGAGACATTTTTTTGTGTGATTGTGTGCTGTTTATAATTCATCATAGTTTTAAAAAATAATAATAATTAGTTGAAAGATATTTTATCAATTACTAGAAACTCCTGGTGACCCCATTTTTCAGGCGATCCCACGTGGGGACGCGACCCCAAGGTTGAAAAACATTGGTGTAAATGGTCATAAAAAAGACACTTAAATATTTATTTTTTTGTAAAAAATCATTACTATTAAAATAATTGCTATGAATTTTATCATAATAAATTGTGTATTAATTTGACTAAGATAATAATAATAAGAATTATCTAGTAATAATAATATCTAACTAATAATAATAATACATTAGTAAGGGTTATCTAGTAATAATAATATCTAACTAGTAATAATAATACATTAGTAAGGATTTTTAGTATTATTAATAATAATAATAATTATATATTCCTGTTCCTGAGGTGACGTGCAGTTAAAGTCCTCATCCCGTGACCTCATGGTCTTTCTTGACCTCTATGCTACTTCCTGTTATCAGGTTGTTCCTGTGGCGCCACAGTAGAGCATGTTTGAAACTGCAGAATCGTTGACTCTAGCGTTGAGTAGCAGATTTCACCGAGTTATTTCAACATCAAATGTATTCAGTGGTTCTGTGTCTGCTCGTTGTTTGTACCTGTCATCTAGGCAGCGACCGATTAAATACAGTGAGTAACCCCGGAACGTGAGCAGCACCACAAACAGGAGCTAAGTTATTTAGCTAGCCATGTAGCCATGCATGTGATAGCAGCCATGAAATACAATCAGTGGCCGCGAGCGTGCTGTGGTTTTATGTCTTCCATCACAGATCCAAACAACCGTCAACAGTGCGGTCGTTCGTTTTCGTTCTGTTTGCGGCGATACCGGTCGGTTTTTATCAAAGCAGATGGTGGCGTTTACTGCCAGAATTACACTGTAGTCCGACTTCCCACGAGAACGACTCGCGCGTTTACGAGTAGCTATCATGTTGTAACAAGATACAGATACAGTTTCTATAAAAAAAATTAAAAAAAACAATCATGCAGCTGTAACGGAAACACGTCGTTTTCATCTTCTCCTCCTTTAAAACAAGGCTCATAAACTTACAGCTGAATTCATTCTAGGAAATAAAATAAAATATTTAAAATATGAAATCATATTTAGTAAAAAATAAATTTTTAAAGGACACGGCTGCTAATAGAGCTGCATATTTCAGCAGCTAATTGTTCAGTCTTATTTCTGGGGGCGTGAATGTTGATTGGTCAGGTAGGAGCTGATCAATTTTAATAGCAGAAGCACTGACGCAGATGGCTGCAGTGACGGAGTGAACACACAGGCAGCCACTGACTGTCCTCCCAGGCGTGGCTGTTGTCCACTGGGGTTTATTACCTTTCTGTACCCCCCCGCTCTTCGCCTCCCCACCTCACACCCCCCCCCACTAGCTTCCACCACTCATGTAAATGACACTGATTAATCAGTGAAGGGCTGGAGTCGAGCGCTGGAGGAGCCAATCTCATGTTCTGTAACTCATGCTTGCTCACGGTGGGCTGCGTTTTCGTCCTCACCACGCCTTCCCTCCCTCACTACACACTGCAGTCAGTCATCTCTCTCCCTCCCTCCCTCACTCCCTCTCTCTCTCCCTCCCTCCCTTCTCTCTCCTCCCTGGCAAATGCAAGGCTTTTCGAAGAACAGATGGGGGAGCAGGGGAAAACCCAGGCCAAAATGTTTCATGCTGACATCTAGTGGAGCCCGGAACATTTGATTACACAATCAATTATATTTGTGCACATACTGTAGAACTGTGTGGTTTTTATTCAACCTGACCTTATGTTCGACGTTTTTGTTGAAGAATTTCAATAATAAAAATATATGTTTTTTTCTGATTATTATAATTCTTTTTTTGGGTCAATTTCAGGTTCTACAATTAGTTAATGGCAACCACGACACCTCAGGACGCGTCCATCCGCAGACAACAGTCTGGCATCTGGGCGGTGTTTTTGTTTTTAGCGCGTCGGGTTTGGAGAGAAGAGGAAAAGATGATGTTTGTGAGAGCAGAGCGGCCGAGGACGGAGGGATGGAACGCTGTGCAGTGATCTGTCTCCGTTTTAAAAGGAGCACAGCAATGATGGTGGACATGTGTGATGAAGTGGACAGTCTCCCTGTCCTCCCCCACACCCTTCGCTCTGCCTCACAGCCCTCACACTACCAGGCCAGGGGAACTGGATTCTGGTACTTACAGCCAAGGAATGTTGAATCTTGGAGAGCGTCTGGGGGCCGTCACAGTGAGAAGATTGTCAGTCAGAAACTCTAGAAGAAGAAAAAACATCATCATCATCAGGGGTCAGAGAGGCTTCAGTCACTCTTCAGAAGAACAACTGTTTCAGTATCGTCGCTCCTTTGGGGGTAAATGACTTCAAACAATAAGTGTTTCCATTAAATACAAAAGGATAAACTGATGCTGAAAACATTTCCACAGTCGTTATCAAGGCAAAATCAGTCTGGAGAAGTTCGCTGAGAGTGAAAGATAGTAAATAGTAAAAAAGTCCAATAATATTGTGAAAAGAGAGAGAGAGAGAGAGAGAGAGATAATCAGTGGAAATCTGACAGCTGTGAGTGCAAGACCGTCCTCTGCCCCTAGGCAGCGTTGCATTAAGAACTGTCATGATTTCATACCAACTGTACATGGGATTCATTAAGGATACAGTTCAGCACGGCAGCCAATGAGGTGCTCCGAGAGTTCAGCATATACAGCAATACTGTGAAATATATATATATATATCTATTATATATTATTTTTATATTGTATATATTATATATATATATTGTTTAATTTATACTGAATAGTTTAGTGTATGATGTATAGTTGCACATATACTTTATATACACTGCATGTTTTATATATTGTATACTGTATATTGGTGACGAGAAATATATGTGTTGTATAGTTTTATATATATATATACACATATATACATATATATTATGGTTAACATGGTTTACACATATATGATACATATATTGTATATACACATTTATGTGATGTATATATGTAAATATATGTGTGTATACATATATACATACATATATAAATATATATATTTGATCTTGTGTGATTGTCATCTCTTTTTTACAAACTACATAAGTCTTGTACTTTCGTGGTACTATTGTACAAGGACATTGTTCTTCTTCTTCTTCTTCTTCTTCATCTTCTTCACATCTTTCTGGCCACAACTATTAGAAGCCTCAGGAAGAATATTGATATTTCTCTGTCCCTTAATAAATAAACAAGTTGACAAATGCCCGGAGCCAAAGTTTGTAACTAGAAAGCCACGGGACAAATTAATTACCCCTGGCATATATCCATTGCATGCGATGGCTCAACACTTATTGAATTAATGAATCCTTGTCATTAGCCACTGCCCACCATAATGGGTCTGTTCAAGAGAAACAGCCATGAATCAACAACAGAAAGTTAACTTTCAAAGTTAGGGCATCGTCAGCCATTAAGAAAAGATCCCAACATCCTGAGGGAATTCTATTGGCTAAACCACAGGGAAGGTCTGGACCAATTAGAGGTGAGCAACATGAAGTGACGATGGAGGAATCTTTAGGATGAAATAATCAGCAGAATAAAGACTTCCTTTGAAGCTTCACATCACAGTACGCTGTGCAACTGACTTCCATATTTGTTAGAACTGATGAAGAGGAGTCGTTAGGCTACGTTTGTGATAAATAACGTGGTTCCTTGGTGCATTAATGTCCCTCTAAAGGTTTTGAGAAAAATACACTTATTTTTCATCATTTTGTTTTTGTTATTCGAGACAAAATGTAACTAAAGAGGAATGTCAAGAATGCTAACATTTCTTAAAACTATTACGACCTAGATAATAAATGAGTGACACTATCCACAGATGTGACGTCAGCCCCGACTGACAGAAGATCGTTCTGTTGTAGATGTTATACCCATACAGGTATTGGTATGATGTGTAGTACTGCAGTAATGTAGTATTTCTTCAGGTGTCACCAGCAAAAAGTGTCCAACACTGGACTGACAATGAAAATATTCTTTCATTTAAATATATATATTTATGCACTGAACTTCACATTTGTGAGGACTGAAGCCAGAGATCAAACAAATATATTTCCCTTCTTTAACACACTACATCCAGATGTAGGTCATGTCTGTGTAGCAAAAAAAAATCCCCAAGAATGATTTTTCTGATCAGAGAAAAAAAACAAAAACTTCTGTTAATTCTGTTCTCTCCATGTTCTTCTCTGGACTTTTGAGAACATTCTAAAAAAAAGAAAGAAAGAAATTCCTCCTCCTATTTCAGGAAAACAATCAATTTCATGACTCACTGCATTTAATTGCTTCATAGTAATTGTATCACAAACGACATCGACAGGGGAAGATAACTGACTTTAATTTGTGCAGCACAGTTAAAAAAAAAAAAAAAAAGAAGTCTGAATTTGTCTGCTCTCACAGGAAACAGATTTCTTTCCTGTGAATCAAGTCAGTGTAAATTTTACACTGAATTTTCAAGCACCGAGGATTTTCAAACAGGCCAGAGCTGAAAAATAAATTCTACCAAAACTGTGACTTTTCTTTCACAGCAAAGACTGAGAGTCACACCTTCAAACCACTGCAGTGCTGGTATCTTTAAGTTTACAATAAATTTTAAAAAAATGATCTGATATTTTATCGACTTTAATTTTTCACACACTCCAACAACAAAAGAATTTTGAACGAAACGACGGCAGATGAAAAAGTAGAACGGACTCCTTTCTTGCAGAATGTGTGACAAAGTGCCAAAGGGAGTTGTTTGCAGCTGGCTGAGGGGTCACAGTGACAGATAGTGGGAGTGGGGGGTTGGAAGGGGGGGGGCTACTGCACTGCAGCATTCCGAAAATATATGTGGCGCTGTCTTTGTTTCAGGTACGCTGAGGTCAAACGACGAAGACTCCAAACAAACACACTCAATCAAAGCCGACGGCCCAGGAATCTCCGTCCTCACCAGATCTCTGATGTTATAGTACAATTACGCAGCGCAATTAAATTCACCCTCATCGGGACAAACACAAGGTCAAACTCTTCTTTAAGAAAAATCTGGAAAGATTATACATTGGCTCATGAACAGCCGCAGCAGGAACCGATGTGAAGATTCTCAGAAACCATCACGTTGCAATGAAAGGAAATTACCTCGTGCACCGTGAGCATAATTGGATCTTTCCCACACCTATTTACGCCCCCGAAGGACCAAACCATGACAAAGAGAAAAAAAAAAAGGACAATTTAATGAAGACTCGAACCTTAGATTTCCATTAAAAGTCAAAGACGCGGCGGAGTCGTACCACCCTGGGCGTCCAGGAGTCAGATCTCCTGCGGTCGGGTTGGAGGTGTTACTTCAGGTGATCGCTGATCTGAGGCCTGTGTTAATGAACAGGCTCTCTTAGGAAGAACACCGATCATCATCATTAGCCCAACGCTAATCAATCAGCTAAGGCTAAGGCTGATCTCCCAGGTCCACAGTAGGAACACGGGGAAACTGCAGAAACCGTTCAAAAGAGAATCCGTTCCTTCAGGATTCGCTGCAGCGTTTATCAGATTCACAACCAAGAAAAAACTTTATTGATCTTCGGGGGGAGATTGTTGAGACGTTGTAGCCATGGTGACTCAGCTGAAGTCGCCCGCCATCGTAATGAAGGCACTGGAGTGGTGAGTATGGAGACGGAGAGGGTGACATAACCCTCCAACGCTGAGATGGCGGAGGAGGAGGAGGGGGTGAACAGTTATGATGATGTCATGAGAAAATTAAACCGTTAGCGTTTAGGTCAAGTCACGATGTTGAACAGAAATAGTCAACCAGCACAGAATGAACCCAGTAGGAGGCAGTAGTGGGCTCCAAAGTCTGCTAGCTACAAAATAAACAAAGTTAGTAGGTTGGTCGTCTACAGAATTGTTTCCCAAAGACTGGGTCGCAACCCTTAGGTGGGTCACAAGAGTTTTCTTTGGGGGGGTCGTCTCGCATCAGCTTTCCTAGGAGTTTAGGAATATTTTCTATTGACTTGGGTCGCGAAGGTTTGGAGTTTAGGAAGGTTTGTGACTTTTAAAATATGGGTCCACAGAAAAAAAAGTTTCGGAAACACTGGTCTGCAGTCTGACAATAAAACCTGAATTACTTTTTTATTCTGGCTTAAAAGACTAATTTATTTATGACTTTTCAACTGTATGTTATGGAAATTTCTGTCAGACTGGAGAAACCTTAAAAGAAAAAGAAGATGATGAATGTAGGAATTTATTTTTATTACTTCTTTAATGTGGACTGAAGTGTCAAATTAGTCAATATGCACGCTGTTCTAAGGTACTATTGTGCGTGTGTGTGTGTGTGTGCAGTAATTTGAGATAAGAAAATGTAAATAAATCTCTTCTGCGTACTCTGCTAAACACGCCCTGCTGCCGTCCTCACGTCACGTGGTCTCTCCCAAACCACATCTGTGTTCTCACCAACAAAATACACTCTCTTTATCTCTTCATCTCCAAATCCACTTTTGATCCAGATTCAGAGACACGAAGACAAGGACAAGTCTCAAGAACCTCTGAGACTCCATGTCGTGTCATGTGACTTTCTATGACTGTCATTACAGTGAGAACAGGTAGAGGCTGTGGAGAGAGTGTGGCTAAAGTAAAGTGAACCATCAAGAGAATTAATGGTGGGGGGACAGTGGGGGGGGTGTGTTAGTCGCTCAGTGCTTGGCAGAGTCTGGGAGACGTGCCTGTGCGAGCGCAGGGACTCTGCGTGCAGAAGGGATCTGGCCCAAATTTAATCCGTCTTTTGTGAATATGGAGGGCTGGAGGAAAAAAAAAAAGGGCTGTGTCGGCTGAAATCCCACTGACAGTGCTGCAATGCAGGGGTTTAACGACGAGGCACGAGGCGGCACGTAGCCTTCAGACGCCACACAATTAACCTGCTGTACACAGGAAGACACACGTGCAGCAGCAGTGCAGATTAACAATTAACACGGTGGTTTAGTTGACACATGCACAGCAGATTCCACAAAAAAAACTCTCATTCCTAAAAACATATGAACTGTTATTCTGTAAAAGGAAATTAAATTAAACATCAAGGAATTATTCCCACAATTAGAAAATATAAAAAATGATTTTAATTTGATCTGCTGTGACCCCCCAGTACTAAAACCGTGCCCCCAATGGTGACCCGCCCCTCACTTTGGAAACCACTGATTTTACCAAAATCGTCATTTTTTTTAATAATACTAAATGAGGCACTGAAACATATGCATTTTGC